TATTGTACTGCTACTACTGTTACAAATATTAATTTACAGAACTAATCTTGAATGATTTTGCTTTTGAAGTTTTCTCACTTGTGCAGTTTTGTGTTTGCTTGGATGAATTTTAAGTTGTTGTGCTTTGAAGTGAAGCATTTTGTGGATTTGTGCCAGGTCCACCACAGACTGAACGCCCTGAAATGATGACAAGAATTAAGAAAACCATTGTGTTTTTTTGTGCCATGTTCCTTGTTTGAGACATGATACAAAATGTTTGGTGCGACACATTATCACATCTGTAGAGTCACAATTGTAATGTTTTGTTACTAGGGTGCATTTTCCTTAAGCGATGGTTGAACACGTTAACAATCAATAACTGATTAAGATGTAAAGCTGGACGTCTTTTTCTCAATTGAAGATTTATTTAACAATTCTAGCGGTAAATAAGTTATGTGAAACAATCATTCATGAAGCTCAAACAATTTAAACGGACATACCTAAAACTTCACCTACGCCTACTCCGTTTACCGGCCTGGTGTGGGAACACATTTTGACAAATCTACGCAGGTCCCAATTAAACGCCTGGTTCTTTGGATGTATAAAACCCCTTAAATCCCGCGGGGTCGCCTGCTTTAGCTGCTTCTGAGCTACTCAGATCGTTACAACAAATATTAATGTTTAAACGTATGATCAATATGTCAGTATGAACATGCTAAACATCGTTAGATCGGTTAGATTCCCCACAATTCAATAGTTCAGTTCATTTAACGGAAACAACAAGCCCCAAATTCTTCTAGATTTACCGGTGTAACCTGCATGGTACAAGAATGTGGACTCTCGTTACTTTTGAAGCGCTCGTTAAGTCTGAATATGTCCCTTCCTTGATTATTTATATATTTCTTCAGTCTGTGAGGGTCCACCCATCAAAAGAATCAAAACAGCTTTTCATAAAAATGAATCCGAGTTGTGAATCCTGCCATGTGAAGTCCATCGCTCTCTGTCTGCTAACTTCTGCCACACTTCTCTCATCCTGCACCCTGTTGTTGTTTTCCTTACGTTGCTGCCTTCAAAATAAAAGCGCATAAGCCGTCTGTCGGAGCTAGATCAAATGAATGACGTGTATTTGATATTATTGGATAATTTTTATACAAGTAATATTCTGTTTGAAATAAATAAACTGTTTCATAGTAGCCTATTTCAGTTTTGTGCGAGAGGAATTAAAGGCCTGTCCCTTATGGACACCTGTCCTAAATAAAGTCAGGGTCAATTCAGTGATTTTATCAAATAAAAACCCGGGCTATAAATCAAAGTTTTACTGTAATAATAAAACAAATGGGCTTCTAGCTAACACTGTTATGACTGTTGGGACAACATTGTTACAACATTGATGTTGTACTGGATCTGTATTTTAAGACGGTGTTGCAATATTTTAATTTAACACTGTCCTCTTTTACAGTGTAATGCTGGCAGTTCATTGATTACTGATCAATCAATAACATCTCTTTGTTACTAATGATTATATCAATAATATTAACACTATCATTATTTATTTACACCATTGTCACAATGAATCAATTTCTCAATTGTTCCAATTAACCCCTGTTGACCCCAACAAATAAAGTAATAATGAGTTAAATATTTGACCTAGTCCATAGTGTTGACCTCTGAAAAGCAGGGTCATTCCTTTGTGGGAAAGACCACTCACGCTTGCTAACAAGCTTTCCTACAACTCGTCAGCTACAGCTGTGTTTCTCACCATGAAGAAAGCTACAGAATAAATCAGAGAGGACAGCGTACACAGCCCCGGGGCACGCCACGATTACAACTCTCACTTCTTCAAATCTGTCAAGTCAAGACATTCAGACCCTGGACAAAATCTATTCCAAAAGCAGACTGGAGGAGGATATGATGAGGATATGAACCCATGTGGAGTTAAAATCGAAGAAGATGTTCATTCGTCTTCAGGTGCTTTAGGATCATGGTATCCTCCACCCCCTTTCTGGCCCTATATTCGATCTGGAATGGATCCAAGTGATCCAAAAACATAATGACATGATATCATTTAAATGTCAATAAATAGCAGTTTGGGTCCAGACTAATTGTTAAAGAAGGATCGATAATTAACATAATTATCAGTTGCAGCCCCGATTTAAGACATTGATATTTTCTGTGATTTACAGAGCTGTGCTTCAGTCCTGTGGACAGTGGAACATGTCACGGTAAAGAGGAGAGGTTTGCATACAACCCCAAGACCAAACGATGCAAGTCGTTTTTCTACAGTGGTTGCGGGGGAAACAAGAACAACTTCATAACCCGGAGAAGCTGTTTTAGAAATTGCATTCGAAGAAGAAACGGTATGATTATTTATTTATTATATAAATAATTCATTATATTATTTATAAATGCGTGTTTCCATTCCAAACTCAAATTGAATTCATTACTTTGTTTTTCTTTAATTGTAGACAGCACATGTATAGACTTTAAAAGTGATAACTGCTTGGTTTCTCATTGTGAGCTACAAAGTGTATTTTGCCATCTTTTAAGAAAATCACAAAATTAAAATGACTTAATATTGTTACTGTGTTCTGTTGCAGCTCAACAGTTGATCCGGATAAAGAAGAAAAACATCAACAACCTTGTTCATCGTTCAATCTGAACACTTTCTCTCTACATTAAATCCTGCACTGGTGGGGAGCCACCTGTATTTATGTGCATATTTTGTTTTTAGCTTTACTCATATCTATTGTTTTGTAGTGCTACAGTAAAATCTTTTGCAGTGTACCTGAAATAGCTTTGGAGTGACTGAATGGAGTTATCATCCACATTATTTCAAAACTCATTGACAAAAAACTCAGTTGTTTTGCCGATGTCTAAGTATAGCAGCTCTCTACATTTACGCTCTGTTTTATCTGTGCATTTGTATAAACGATGACGTCTGTTTATTTTAACAGTTTCAAGGCACAGTTAGGATCATAGTGATGAAAACATTTCACTGTAAAATTTTTTTTGTGAGACACCAAAGTTGCAGCAAAACAAAATGAATGCTTCTCCTGCGTATTTACAGTGTATATACAGTAACTGATGCTTTTCTACAATGGTTTTGGTACAGCTCCGCTACTGTTAATCAATGCAGACAACAGCATTAGCAGATTAAATTTGTGGACAACCCTTATTATATATAATATAATATATTCTAGGATCAACAATAACAATAATATAGAATGTTTTCAGACAAACACGTTAATCAAGATGAACATGCGGACACAGATATAAATCAATATGAACAAAGTAACGACTGTTTTGATTTTTGTTATATTAAACTGAACACGTTTGTTCTCTCTTTTTAATCAGTATTATGCACTTTCGTAAATCATCATTGCAGCCCTGCTGGTGTTGTTGGCAAGGACAAACAGAGGGAGGCAGTGTTGTGTAAAGTAAGTTTTCAAAGAAAACACTGGTCTCTCCTGGCTGCACAGTATCCGCCGCATGTTATGAATTAGACTGTAAGGTTCTATATAATACATTTGAACAACCTTTTTATCTTTCCTCACGTTGTATCTGTTTTATTTCAAATATGTCTTTTTGTATGTAAAGATTAATAGTAAAATGCAAATAGTGTTGTAATGGAGATCCCATAGTTTCCCATAGGCCTAACAAATTCTTAAAAGCTTTTTCAGAAGAGCAAAAACAATGTACGGCTTCAACAACTGTCAACAATTCAAAATCTGAGGAAGAAAATGCAATGACAGTGGTAATGATCAAGATTCTACAGTTTTTATCCCATTGAAACAATACCTTGAAAGTAATTTTAAAAGTCACTAAATGAAAGCCAACTGTGTCGAGCAACCTTTGCGGGCCTCTCCCTGTGGCTGTAGTTACCAGTGGAAAAACTGATTCCAGTATTTTGGAGATTTTTTGAGGTTTTTTTTAGGATAAATAGATGCAAAACATAAATGATTCAGTATTTCCCCATGTAATTCCAGTTTGGACAAAGCTTTGCCATAGCGTTTAGATCGTTAGGTTGGAAAATAAAATTTACACAATAAGCCTACCTTAAAGCTGCACAAGTCAATACAATATTTCATATTAACATCACGTCCTTGTGTCCTGTGAGAATAATCACAGGACTGTGCAGTTCCCCTCAGCTCTTCAGAGTAGGCTATTTGAGTGTCTTTCAGCTCATTGTTTTGGTTTTACAGCACCCAATTTTACTGTTTAACTCCCAAGGCCCAATCCCATTGTCCACCCTCACAGACTCACAGACTTTGAGGCGCGTTCCCGGGAAGTACTTGAGGGCTTAGGGGGGACATTGGGATAGGGCCTAACTGCTCTGATAAACATGGTTACTTACACTACCTGCCCAGCACAAAATGGCAGACTAGCTGTGAACACAGTCAGCAAGATCTTTCCCTCAGGAGTTGGTGGAGTCCAAAACAGAGGTAAGAGGAGAGTGAATATTGGAGTCATGTTCCAAATGAATGCTAATGTTGCTCAATATCTGCTGCATGTATGTAACATGTTTACCAACAACTGTATTTTTGGTTTATAATGTTGTGTTTTTAACTTTACTGGTAACATTTAGGGAATAAACCACTCAGCTTTAATAAAAAAATCCAAATGGTTAAACGTTTGTTAATTTATGTTTATGTCTGTTAGCTGTTTAAGTTGTAAGCGGGAAAACATGACATCAATACTTCTAAAAGTCATCCTCCTTGCCTTTCTTTATCACCTATTAGAACTAGTGAGTGGTCCAGCGGCTTAAAGTGGTCAGCTGAAAAAATGACGAGATCATTAAAACATGTAGTTTTTCTGCTGAGGTGCCAATGAGCAAGACACTGCTGTGCACGTTGTGTGTGCATGTGGGGGAGGACTCCATGAGCCACATTTTAACAGACCAAACTGCAGTTTGTGGGAGTTCAGCGGTAAGCCACCCTGCCTCAGCTCCCAGGTCCTCAGCTGTAGGCTACAGTGTGATGATGTAACAGGAAGTAGTGGGTTGCCTTCCAACGTCAACCTGACTGACGCTTCAGCTGCGCTCATTGATCGCCGGAGGTCCGCTGTGTTTGGAGCTCTCGCTGCGCTGTGCCGAAGACAGAAGACGCTTGAGGGACTGCCCGTGAGAGTTTATTCCAGTTTAAACCTCCTGCGCTGCTGCTGGATTTTACTCTCTGGTAGGACGCGCTGAAATGATGTGTGACTTGTGTGCGATGCGCTATGTTGCAGTGTTTTCTGGGCCATTTGATCTGCAGTGATGTCGAGTAGAATTAATGCAGACTTTACAATAAATGTTGCTCATCGATGTGTGTTTAAATCGAGGTCATCTCAACCGTATTTGCGTAGATTAGAGTTAATTAACAGAATATGTTGTAAATGCCCTCGATCCACAAACGTCGGGAACACCAGTATGAGCATCTATAAGTGGGTCCAGTTAATCTGCATTGTGCTTCTGTCAAAAGATGGATGTGAAAAATCTGGATGTGATAGAAGGATCTATATCTATCTATATATGTAGATACATATATATAGTGTATAGTATATAGTGTTGTCGGGTGATGTATTGAGAGTTTAGTCGATGCATGCTTTATGGTGATGCGTAAAAGCATTTAAAGGGAATATAGTTACGCTGCATTTTTTTAAAGGCACAGCTTAGGTGAACATTGTTGCTAGCCTACTGTATAGGCAATAAACTCGTTTTTATTTATCATTTTTTATGTCGGCTTGCATGCTGACTCAGCTATGGCTGACTATACAGCCACGGGTTGCTCATGCACAATCTACCAGACTTGACAGCCGTTCTATAGATAAAATAATCACTTTTAAACTTGGCCTATAGGAAGGGATGACATACACGCAGGCTTTTCAGATTGATTCAACTGGAAAGCAAGCTCCATTCAGCGCTGAAGCTTTGATGCAAGCGGCGGGCACTGGTTGCTAAATCATCTGCATGGTTACATAAGCAGCAGATTTGGACATGCTGGAAGTTTGTGGGCTGGACAGTGAAAACGAAAAGGACGACGAAGGTGAATGATGGTGATGATGTTAAAGTGTAGGAGGCGGGTATTATTACATGTCACCATTGGCAGAGTTTACTGCGCTGAGGAAAGACGCACTGGAGTCACTGTAGCGGAGGTGGAAGAGCAGAAGCAGCTCCCAAGAATATGTGTTACTCATTGCCAAGTTTGCGGATTGGTTTCTGTCAAACATGAGAGAATTCTGCTGTTGCAAGCAATACTGCAGATTTCTCATGGGTTTTGCAGTTATGAAGTGGACGGAATGATTGTGTACTAACTACAGTTTAAATTTATTGATGGTAAATGGGAAAATAAAGCAATTATCAAAGCTGATTGTGTAAAACAAAATCAAGTTAGCACGTGTGTATGTGCTGTTTTAATATGCTGCTGTGCCTTTAAACTTAATTTCAAATAGTTTTACATGTTTAAAACCTTGCAAGAAATAACCTTGGAGTTAAAGTACACACACACACACAGTCACACTCACAATATCTGTGCCTTAAAACAGAAACAAAACACAGGCTATGTATAGTTTGGTAAACTAAAACCACTTAGATCAGGAAATATTGTGTTCAAAAGAAAATAGTAACTGTTGGACCATTAAAACGTGACTGCTTAAAGCCACTGCAAACTTTTTTTTACGACTAAATAAATAAACACTGAAGTTTTGTAAAAACAACAACTAAAAAACAAGATTAACTCTTAAAAATCTAAAATTTGCTAATCCGCTTCATCAGGACTGTGTGGGTGTGGTTTGATTTTCTAGTGGCCGGGCCTACAATATGCATGAACTGATTGTGCAGTGGGGATGTCATGCAACCCAGCAGGTTCAACCCCCAAACTGTCACACTGAGTGTTTACTGTCCAAGACCAGAAAACAGCCATTAAATGTGGGACAGACAAAGGTCTTGGCAGCATAGTTCCTAAAGCCCTTGCGATCTCCATGGTATAGTGGATCTGTTAAAGCAATGGCATTTAGATTGTGGTAGTGGAATCTCATTCACACTGTGGTACATCGGGGTTGGATTTAGGATCACTTCTTTGCAGTCAAGCAGCAAAGAGGCAAACCATTTTGGAGCAGTTGTTGTGATTCTGCCGTGATACTGTAAAGCAATTTTGCAGTGATTACTGGATGTGTAACTGATGCTATTGCAGGGGACACTGCTGGAAACCAACTCTGATGAGTGCAAAAGGACACCCAATTCAGATGAGTAATAACAATTCTCATGAAACTTAACCCCTCGTAAATCATCGGGGCACACTGGGCTTCTGCAGTCTGCATCTTATTGATTTACCTCCTATCTTCCCCAGCCTTGTTGTGGACACTGTAAGAGCTCTCATATATATTTATTAAGGGATGTGACCACCAGTTTCATTTTCTTCCAGCATCTTTTACTGTCTGTCAAACTCATTCAAGTTGAACCTTCATTGTGTGGCAGCTCGGATCAAATCATCAGCCCAAGTATATACAAAATGTGTTTTTCTTGTGTGCTTACCCCAGGCTGAAGTTATCGTGTTACAAAAAAGCACAATGATGTACATATGCACCAGTCTCAAAGAGCTCCCCTCAGGTTCTGGATTCAGTTTCGGGGATGTGAAACCTTTTGAGGTTATTTTTCCGCTCATGCATTATGGAGGGTCATTTTTTCCCCCCCTCTCCAGCCTAATTTCAGCACACAAGGTGCCTGGTGAGACCTGTCACGGGCTAATGTCTTCAGGAGCAGCATCTGGGGAGCCTTGTCTGTGTGCAGTGGTTGGCAGGATGAGCTGTTGTGCTTTTTTGGTGGTGGAGAGAGGACAGTGGAAAGAGGCTGTGCGGTTTCTAAGGGTGTTCCATGTTTGTGTGAGCTAAACAAACCGTCAGTGACATATGCTTCCAGATTTATTGTGTGGGAGGGGGCTTCTGGCATACAGAATAGAGGAAATGGTCCCTGGAAAGCTCTTTGTGTCTGTTTGTCTTACAAAGGTGAACCTCTGCACTGTATAGTTGTCATTGTTTGAATTCTTTCTGCTGGCAAGATATAGAGGAGGACTCCGTAACTAGTGAAGCACCTATTTAAAATTTTTACATTCAAACATTCAAATGCCAAGCCACTATGCAAAAGCTCCCTTTCCAGCCTGCAAACACTGCATGGACCTCTCTTTCACCCTTAATTTTCTGCTGCTATGAGCAACTCTGTCTGCAGCAGACATTTCTGTTGGATCTCCATTTAGCTCATTTACCCCACTGTGTAAATGTGACTATTATTATTGTCAAACTAAGGCTGCCGAAAGCTGTGCCTAAAACTTCTCCCTATTATTGCAGTTAATTGGATTCCAAGGTTAATAAATGTTTCAAATTACTTTGTTCCCTCTTAAAAAGCACAGATTATTATTGTCCATGCTCTTTATACTGGTCATTATCACAACTCATAGCATGACCTGAATACTCTCTGTACTCTCGTGTTATTTTAGGTAACTAGCCAACATCACATATTTGCACGTTCTTAAGCTTGCAACACGTAACGTACTATCATGTTTATTTTGTGCACGCATGCCAATGTAACATTATCTACAGCATACATATCCGCTGTGTCTTCTCCAGAGATGTAGTCAGTACAGGACAGTAACCTGCATTTTATACATTTACAAAGATAGAGAAAATAGAGCTCCTGTTCCTGAATGTGTTTTTGTTTAGTGTATACAAAGGTTATTATTAAGCATTAACAGAAAGCTGGAAAGCCATTACCTTCCCATTTTTTGGTGCTCAAGTTGAGAACTGCCAGTAAAAACATTTTTTGTGTTATATCACATGTACATGGTCCGTCTACACAGGAACCCTTTCAGTCACATTTTTCAGTCGTCCTCATGCAAATTCTTGTCTCACAAACATGATCACATGTTTTGTTCTGCACCTTGTTTGTTATTGCTGCTAATGTCAGTTTGCAGGCTAGTTAGCTAATTAGCTAGCGTGTTGCAGAATGCTAAAGAAAACAAAAATATACCTATAAATAATAAACTGATGAAACACCGTCTTTCTGTGGCTTGTAGGTTAAAGTGCAAGATTGTTTACTTTGTGTCTCCATTCACTTCCCACAATCCCGTCCGCAAGCTATGCAAGGAGAAGGGTCCAGCTGCAGCCTGCAGACAAACGTGACGGAAGTTGAAACTTCCATATATGGTTTGTCCCAGAAGCCACCGCGCACAAAACGTGATGACCTTTATCTCGGTCACTCAGTTGAAGCATAGCCGATAAATAAAAAAAAAAGAGCCCTTAAAAAAGAGGTCAACGTAATAATCAGCGTTAATTTTTACTATCCTATAACTATATATTATTAATATAGTATGTTAATACTATAATTGCAAATTATAATAATCTGCAAATATTTTTTGTTGCATATTTTATTTGTTTCAAAGTGATTTTAAGTTTCACGAACCAAGAATACTGTGTAACGTTACATCACGAGCCAGATGTATCTTGATTTATGTTAAAACTTTACAACATTACTGAGAATTTAATGATAGAATAACATCGTTACGAACATTAATAGTATCGTTCTGCTGTTGCTGGACACGCCGCTGTGTTGGCCACTGTCTGTGTGCCTGGGGGAGCTAACTGGAGTTAGCTGGCTAACTATTCCTGACAGCCCCCCCTATGTATATTACTCTTACCCTAACCATCACAGGGTGTGTGCCTAAAGTTATTGATTGTATGCATGTTGACCGGTTAACCCTATAGCGGCCTTACAGGCGACGTGCTAGCAGAGTGGGTTAACCTCCATTGTGTTGCTGTAAAGCCTCCGGTAACGTTACTGCAGCTATATAACATTGACACCCGTCGGCACCATGGTCGGCACTTGCGGAGCTTCTCAACTCCGAAAACATTTGAACACATTTTTCGATTTGCCGTAAATTTTCGTAAAACTGCTGATATTCGAAATTTACACAATTGATTTCTCGCCTAAAAACTCCTCAGAAGTGTATTTAAAGTTCTGTTGTTGGTCTCTAAAGAATAAAACAGTTTGCATTAGGATCTATACTGTACGTGAGCCGAGATAAATGTCATCACGTTTTGAGCGCAATGTCTTCTGGGACAAACCATATTTGGAAGTTCAACTTCTGCAGCTGGATATACTTGTATGGAAGGGCTACGCACGTACTAATAGGAGTTACAACAGTAA